TTGGGGTTGGTTTCCTGAGCGAAGTGGTCGGACATCTCGCTTGTGCAGGGCACCGGCTGTAACAAGTGTTTGGCAGGAGAGGGCAATAGGGGACCGTCTTCCTGTGCTCGGGAGCAGATGCACGGGATCCATGGCCACCAAAACAAACAGCCCATCTCCCGTCGCTGGGTGTCGTCTTCAGAGGCAGAAGATTTATCTGGGCTAGTCCCAGGGATGTGGTTAGGAGAGCAGTAATGTGGAAGAACCCAAGCTGGTACCTAAAAGGTGTGGAGAGTTGGAGCTTGGTGACTTGTGGAGTTGTTTGGCTTGGTATTTTCTTTCCGTGAAGCCACACAAACAAGGGGAAGTGCTTGGCACTGCTGGTTACCTAGGAGAGGGCATCTCTTGTGCTGCTTTGGTGGGGCCTGGGGACAAGTGCAGCAGGAGAGACCCCACTAAACAGCTGTGGGTGGTGACCCATGTGCCAGCGTGCAGCAGAGCTGGGAATCCTGGAGTTTGTAAGAAATGCACCCATACCCCCAAATTGCTACCTCTGTTTTGCCAATGGTAACTCATTTTTCTTGCTTGGTTGGGATAATAGGAATTTCATTAAATCCTTTAGGAATGCTGAGAAACTTAACGTCACTTGTACTTCTCTTTGGTTGTTGTTCAGAAATGGCACCTCGTAAGGGCAAGGAGAAGAAGGAAGAGCAGGTCATCAGCTTGGGACCGCAGGTTGCTGAAGGAGAGAATGTGTTCGGTGTCTGCCACATCTTTGCTTCCTTCAATGACACTTTTGTCCACGTGACCGATCTCTCTGGCAAGTGAGTATTGAACACCCATCACCTGGCTGTGGTACACGGCTCCCTCGGGTGTGAAAACAGAAACTAGGCTTGGCCAGAGGTTCCACCAAAGTCCTGGAGCTTCTGCTGAGCCCGATGGGATGGTGTGTGTACACAAAACAGGTGGCTTGGTGAGTTCCTCTGATCAATGTTGCAGTCAGGGTGGCAGTTTGTTGATCTGGTAACCTTGACAATAACAGGTGCTGTCCATACCTAGAAGCTGGTTTGGGGGGAGGAACAAGGAAAGGCTTTCTCCTGAGTGTCGCCTTTTCCTTCTGTAGGGAAACCATCTGCCGTGTAACCGGTGGGATGAAGGTGAAGGCGGACAGAGATGAGTCCTCTCCCTATGCGGCCATGCTGGCGGCCCAGGACGTCGCCCAGAGGTGCAAAGAGCTGGGCATCACCGCCCTGCACATCAAACTGCGTGCAACTGGGGGGAACAGGTACGTCACAGGGACACTGTGGTGGCTAATGGTGAAGGGTTTGGGCCTGGGACAGGAGGAGGATGGTTTGGGATGGGGAAGGTGGGATTTTAATATTGCTAGTTGTTTGTAAACTATTCAGCTTCCAAGTCGTTTAAGGAGTTGTTGGCTCTGACTCTCTTCCAGGACCAAGACTCCTGGGCCCGGTGCTCAGTCAGCCCTGAGAGCTCTGGCCCGCTCTGGGATGAAGATTGGCCGCATTGGTGAGTGAGGGAGAAAGGGATTAATCAGTGAAAGGAGCTTTGTAGGCATGTGTGCTGCTTTGTCTGATGGTTTAACTTCAGGATGTTCTTCGTGGCCACTCAGGTGGCACAAAAGGAAGGATTTAATTTAAACAGATCCCTAAACTGACGATTCCTCAGGAGGTGCTGAGAGCACAACTCAGAACTCAGGTTTTTATGTACAGGGTACCACTGCTCCTTGGATGTCACAGTGCTTGTCCCAGGGCTGTTCAGTCACCTAAAAATACCTTGTTGGCCTCAGCTTGAGACAGTGACTCACTTATAGTGGAGTTCTCCAGCTGTTGGAGGAGAGTCCTGAACTTTGTGGGGGAGTCACAAGAAGCTGTGGTGGTGGCTGCTGTGCTGAAAATTCAATGAGGCATCTGTTTCTTTGGAAACCCTGTGGCTGCTTGGTTTAAGTGGGACGGAAGATGGGAATTTTTGCTTCCTATATTGCATTAAAAGCCCCGGGTACCCAGCTCGTGGCAAGTTCCCAAATAGCTTCCCTCTGCTGGGAGTTCCTTCTGCCCCTCCTGCACTGCCAAGGTGTAGCCGTGGGGTGTTGGGGTGATGGCTGGGGTTGGTGGCTGTACCCCATTGGTTTCTGGGGGTACCTCTGCAAGGTAACTGTGTTTTGGGTTTTCTTCCCCCTGCAGAGGATGTCACCCCCATCCCCTCCGACAGCACTCGCAGGAAGGGCGGTCGCCGTGGACGTCGTCTGTGAACAGCGTTGCACCTTCTGTTTATTAAAGCTCTCTTAAACCTCTGCTCAGCTGTGTTTTCTTACTGGGGTTTGCTGGGCTTCCGTGTAATTCCATCCACGGATGGCTTGGGCTCTGGAGCTGGGCTTCTGGGTTGGGGGGATGTTAGGGGGGAAACTAGGCTGGCTGATCCAAAGCCATGGTGGGTCTTGGACTTCATAAAGCAAAAGCTGCTTTGATACTTGTGCTTTCAGATTGAGTCATGATCTCTTGGAAGTGTCCTTGCCACAGAAAAAAAAAGCTGGGCTGGGACTGAGAAGCTGCTGCTGGGTTTTCTGCAAAATGCTGCTTAATACATCACTTCCCCTTTCTGTGGAAAAAAATCCTCTGCCTGTGCAGATGTTCCTAAGCCAGCATTTCCCTTGGCACAGCCATAGTGCTTTATTTGTTGTTTTTTATGCAGCCATGGAAAATTCTAGAATAAACTTCCCTTACTGTCCTAAAAGTGCACTGTTTGCCATTCAAATGGCTGTTTTCCTGTACTTAAAGTGTTCTTTGAACTTAGTGTTGACAACCTGCTGGAAACAAAATCAGCAGCAGCTCAGCCAGCATGGAGCTGAACAGAGGAGGGGACAGGACGGGAGTACAGAGTGGGACTCTCTGTGTGTTGGGGGGTGGGTGTGGGTGTGTGACCAACAGCTCCAGTCAGTGTTTTTTTAATAAACTATTGCTGTTCTGTGTGTGTTGCTCCATCCCAGGGGACATCAGCATGGCTGCTTCACGGGGCACCTTTGGGGAGAACTCTGCACACTAACAAATCCAAGGCAGGACCTTTGTGGTGACACAAACTGAGCTCATCTCTGAGTGCAGTTTGAGATGTTTCTACTCAGTTTCTCTCCCCCCTGCTGCTTACCCAGGCCCACCAGGGCCAGCCTGGTCCAGGCCATTTCAGCCCTGCTGGTTTTAAGGGCAGATGTGGAAGTGGGAAGGTGTCTGCTCCCTGTGAAGGTGGATTTGCTCTATTAACCCTTAATCCTTGGAAACTGGAGCCCTGCTGGGTGCGCAGGGATGGCTGAACCACTTGGTGCCCTTAACATGACGTGCCGTGGGCAGGCTGTTCTCTGGGCTTGCTGCACAATTAATGGCAAAAATTGCTTTGATTTCTTGGCAGACCTGACGTCTTGAAATGGCTTCCTGCATCGGTGTGCAATCCCCAGGGGGGAAATGGTGAATGAGGAAGAGAAACTGGAGATCCAGCACAGATTGGCTGCCTGGCAGGTCTCCTTTCTGGAGAAAAAGACCTTCCTGTCAGAGCAGCATGGATGGCTCTCATGGCTCTTGGCAGTCCGTGCCCTGACCCAGGGGGTTTGTCTTGGGTGATTGAGCGAGGAACTGCATCACCTGCAACCCCCCTGTAGCTGGGTGATGTCTCCCGGGCTGCACGGGGGTGGGATGTGTGTGCCTGAGCTGTTGAGGCCATCATCTTAGGGGCAGTGGGAAATGTGTGTCTGTTCCCCAGACCTAAATCTGTGCAGGGTCTGGGGGCTGAGAGCTGTGAGATGAGGCCCAGCTGGTGATGAATGGCTTCCTGTGAATGCACCTGGGTTATTCCAAGTGCCTGCCTCAAATAATTGCTCTGCCGGCCCCGTCCTCAGCAGGTCTGAGCCCAATCCTGAGACCACTCCACTCTCCAGATGGCTTTTTATTTTCCCAAAAAAAGAGAACTAGTTCCCCAGCTTCCTGCAATGGTGCTTGTTGAGTTTTTATGGTCAGCACCAAACACAAAGCCTTGGGGTAACAGGATGATGAGGAGCCAGTGCCAGCCTTGTGCAAGGGGGGAATGCAGAGGGTCAGACAGGATGAAAGCTGCTCTCTGATAGGGTCTGCATCTTCCCTGGAAAATCGATTTACAAACTGGAAACACCAGATGCCACAGCCACGGGCGGAAAGTGTGGGGGGTGTGAAGTACTGAAGAGTTGATGGGGGGTGTCTGTGTGTGTAGTGAGGGCTGGCTTTGTGCTGACCCTGCCCATCTGGGCTGGGGCTCGGGGGCTCAGCCTACCAGGGGCAACAGGGCCCTCTCCCACCCCCAGGTTATCACCCATGTCTGTGGTTTGCAGAGCCGGGCCCAGCTCCATGGGATCGCTGGGGTTTCACTTGCCAAGTTCCTGTTCGGACTCTCTCTGGTTCCCCTTCAGGCTGAGGCTGATCACGGAATGCGCCTGGAGCATGGCCTCGAGGCAGGGGTTGTGGCCCAAATGAGGAGCTGAGTGAGGTCTGGGGCCTCGAGGAAAAACCTGTGTGACTCCCAGAACCCCTGCTGCCCACAAGGAGAGAGACAAGAAATTTATGGAAAGCTTCTATGTTCTATTTCCCTTTTTTTTAGGTTTTTTTTTCCTCCTCCCCCCCCCCCCCTTTTCTTCTCCTTTTCCCCTTTTCTCTCCGTTTTCTCTCCCTTTTTATTTTCTTTTCAAACGCCTCTGATGGTTTCTAGGTACAGCTGGTAGCCTGGGATGAGGCTGATGGACACCCCTCGCCTGGTGCTCTGTGCACCTCTGAGTGCCCAGGGCTTTCCCAGCTGGGTCACAGGAGCCTGTGGATGGGACCAGGCTCCAGGCACGTAAGCCCTTCTACAGTGGGGCTGCAATTTCCCACCTGGGAAGCCGGAGCATTGTCCCTCTATGCCTCCTCCAGGAAGAGCAACTGCCAGGAAACCCTGCCCTGCTCCCTGGAAATGCTCCACGACTATCCCTGCTCTCCAGGCACAGCCAGGGCTGTCAGCATGCCCCTCTGGCCAAGTGGCTCAGGTCTGACCCAGGAGAAGTGGCCGAACCAGCCCCAGCAGGTTTGCCAGGTAACCTGGTGGTGTCTGGTTTTTAGTTCCTCATTCGTAGTTTCACTTTTGGCTGAGCCCTGGGCACGGTGGAGCTGGATCCCAACGCTGGAGCTGGATCCCGATGCTGGAGCCGGCTCGGTGCTGGGCACAGTGTGACCCTGGCTCAGTGTGGGCACTTGGGGGTGTGTTACCCCTGGGGCTGCCCTGATGCCTTGAATAAAATCACCAAACCCCAGCATTATGGTGTGGGTGGCTGCTCTCGCCCATGTAGCATTTCCAGGGCTGTGGGGAGGGTTGGGAACCCCCAGTGCTCCCAAAGCATTTCCACTGGTGCTTTGGGGTTGCTCTTCTTGAGGGGCTGCTCCTCATCTCTTGGTTTTGGGGGCTCAGCCTCTGGAAGCTGCTGCAGGTAAAGCAAGGAGGGCTGGAAAGCCCTTAATCCTTGAATTGGTCCCCCCTCACCTTGAGAAGGGCTGGCCAAGCACCCCCAGCCAGGGGGGGTCTGAAGTGACCTTCAAACCAGGGTTTGAGCCAAAGTGCAGGTCAGTGCAGGTCACTGACCACCAGGTCAGTGGTCAGTGTGCCCACACAGAGGGTTCTGTTTTCAGTCTTGGGTGTGGGGTCTCTCCCCATGGTGTCCCACGCCTGGTAACCCACCTTTGGACCCCACTTCCTTCTTCACACGTCCTTCACCTCCCCCATCCCAACACCACATCCTTTTTCTCACCTCCTGCTCCCCCTTCATGTACCACCTCCTACCCCCCTTCCCCCAGGGGTACCAGAGCCCCCAGACCCATGTCACTGGTGTCACCAGGCTGGGCACTGTGACCTGCCCGTGGCGTGGGGTGGGCAGCGATGCCCCACTGAGCGGCCTCGATCCTCCCCACCGAGCCCAGCATAAACTCTGTACTGGAGACCTGTGGAGCAGAGCTCTGCCTGGCAACAAGTGATGCAAGTGCCAGCAGCCAATAGGATTTTTTGTTTGCTCCCCCCCCCGGGTGTCAGGGCAGGGTGGGGACCGGGGGGGTATTTCCAGGGGCAGAGCTCGGGGTGCTCATTTCCACCGAGGAGCCCACCGGAGCCATGGCGGAGGAGCAGCGGGACCTCATCTCTGACCGCGGCAGCGCCGTGCTCGGCGTTGGGAACACCCAGAGGTGCCACTGATGGGGGGCGAGGGGGTGGGGGGCACGGGGAGGGCGAAGTGGGCACAAGTGGGGACGTGGGGACATGGGGCAGGGGGGCATTCCGTGGGTATGGGACAGAAGGGGACACAGTTGTGCCAAGGGGGTCCAGAGTGATTAGAGGGCAGAAGGTGGGGGGCACAGGGTGGCTATGGGGCACTGTGGAGCCAAGGGGCCTGTGGAAGGGGCCAGAACATGGCTGTGAGGCAGCAAGGGGCACGGGGAGGATGTGGAATGGGTGGGGCACAGGGTGGCTGTGGGACAGGGGGGACATGAAGTGGCTATGGGATGGAGAGGGGAATTGGGTGGCTATGGGATGGGGGACACTGGGTGGCCATGGGGCTGAAGGGGGTCACTGTATCTCTGAGGCGGTTGGGGACAAGGCATGGCGATGGGGAGGACGGGCCCAGCGTGGCTGTGGGGCACAGAGCCATGGCTTGAACCTATGGGGGAGGCAGCACGGCTATGGGACGGGCTGTGGGACAGGCAGGCTGATGACGTGTCTGTGGGGCAGGCTCGGTCCCTGGACCCAACTGGCGACGCAGTGGGGCCGCCATCCCACTGCCACCGCGTGTCCCAACTAGTCCCTATGTCCCAAGCCCCGCGGGGGCAGCCCCCCTGCAAAACTTCCAGCCAATCAGAATCCCGGGAGCTGTGACATCACCAGTCTCCGGGCAGACACCCCCGCAGCGCTGTCCCGTTCGGGACATGTCCCTCGGCCACGCAGTGCCCGCTCCCCATCGGGCAGCGGAGCCAGGGGGCGGCCTCTGGGGCACCGCTGCACCCCGACAGTGCCCCATTCACCCGGCGGGGCAGCATCTGACACAAAATTTTAAAAATTAAGTGCTGTCCGGCATCCCATGGGCTCTGTCCTCTGCCCCAGGAACCTGCGAAGATTCAGGCGGCTTCATCATGCTGCAAAAGGCGATGCCCAGAGTGATTCCGTGCCCCAAAGTCCCCTGGCAGTACCCTGTCCGCACCTAAATGTGCCCACATGCTCCTCGGTACCCCTCCCGTGCCCCCCCCCGCTCCCACCCCCTCAGTGAGTTTCGGTTCCTGGTGTGACCTTCACACTGAGTTTTCGCTTCTGCACGCTGCAATGGGGGAATTTGCATTTGTCTGGCTGCAAACCCCCCTCCCCTGGGAAGGGCGTGTTTGGGGCAGGGAGGGGGTGATGGCAGAGGATCATCTCCTGAGCCCCCTGTCCGTGCCCCGCAGGTCGGTGCTGGGGCGCAGAGCCGCCCTCTCCACGCTCTCCATCCTGGTGGCCCTGCTGATCGCTGGCCAGGCCGTCACCATCTACTTCGTGTACCAGCAGAGCGGGCAGATCAGCAAGCTGACCAAGACCTCCCAGACCCTGCAGCTGGAGGCTCTGCAGAGGAAGCTGCCTGGCAGTCAGTAGCCCTGTGGGCACCACTGTGGTGGTGGTGGGGGGGTGTCCAGGGAGAGGGGACAGGTTCCCCTGTTGGTGTCCCTCATGGTGCTCTTTCCTCGGCAGGTGCCAAGCCAGTGAACAAGATGAAGATGGCCATAGCGAACACCCCCCTGGTCATGAGGGTCCTGCCTGATGCCCCCTTTGCAGACCTTCCAGTAAGAGAGTTCCCCCACTGCTTGGCCCTGCCTGCTGCCCTCAGGGCTTGCTGCCGCGCTCACACTGCTCCTTTGCTTTTTCCCTCAGGCTGCAGCCCCTGCTAGCAACAAAACCGAGGACCAAGTGAAGCACCTGCTGCTGGTAAGGTCCCCTGTACCTCCACCCGCCTGACAGCTGCCCCCCTGCATTGGTCTGGGGTCTCTTGGGGCGCTGGTGGGAGCTCCTGGCTTCCTGCAGCATCTGTCTGGGTGATATCAGCACACACCCATCCCATTTTTCTTTGCCCTGTCTCACCCTGGTCACGCTTGTTGCTTTGCAGCAAGCAGACCCCGGGAAGATGTTCCCTGAGCTGAAGGACAACCTTCTGGACAACCTGAAGAGCCTGAGAAAAACCATGACTCACACAGACTGGAAGGTCAGTGCTTGTTGCCGTCCTACTCTTCCCCATCCAGTAGTTCTCCTGCTTGGGGGAGGGACTGGAATGTCCCCACCTGGAAAAACAAAGGCCTGCTTGAGCCAGGCTTGGGCTGCTCCCACCCCAGGGAAGGGGATGGTGCTTACCACCTTCCTTGGCCAAGCTGGTGCCTGTGGCACAGCTCCCCTGGGGGGAACTCCCCCGATGCCCATTAACATGCTGGTCCCCCTTGTTGCAGTCCTTTGAGTCCTGGATGCACAAGTGGCTGCTGTTTGAGATGGCCAAGAACCCCAAGTCGGAGGAGGACAAGGCAATCCCAGCAACTAAAGGTATTGGGGATGGGGCTGCCGAGCTGGGGAGGGTCAGGGAAGTGTTGGCACGGGGTGTCCCACAGGGAGCCAAGCCCTCCCTGCAGTCATGGACCTGTTCATTCCATGGGGAGCCTCTGCTTGGTGGGCTATAGGACATCAAAGAGCATCTCTGCCCGCTGCATGCAGGGCACTTGGGGTAGCAAAAGGCTGAACAGCTGGAGCACCACCCCAAATCCTCCTACCCTGGCTAGCGCAAGAGCTTGAGAAAGGTCACCAGGCTGGGGCTTGTTCACCTTTAACTGCTTCTGGGTAGAACTCCCTGCTGAGGTTGCTGAGGGGGAGAAGGGCCGGGGGGGCTGACGGAGTCTCCCCTCTGTTTCTGTTGCCCTAGTGCAAACTAAGTGCCAGGCCGAGGCCAATTTTGGGGGTGTCCAGCCAGGCCGGTTCCGCCCCCAGTGCGATGAGAACGGTGACTACCTGCCCAAGCAGTGCCATGTCTCCACCGGCTTCTGCTGGTGCTCCTACAAAAACGGCACCAAGATTGAGGGCACTGCTACTCGGGGAAAGCTGGACTGCTCTGGTAGGTCACCAGGGAGGGGAAGGAGAGGAACGAGCAGTATGCAAGGACTGCTTGGGATTATGGAGGAGGAGAGAGGAGAGGCATCCGTGCTGTAGGGAGCACCCCTGTGGTGCCAGCACGTTAAGACTGGAGGGCACCCTTAAAACCACAGACCCCCCCCCCCCCCCCCCCGCCCAGGTCACTGCAGCTGGAGCCAAGGTGTGCAGTCAGGGTTGTCCATAAGCCCCCCTTGCCCCCAGCCCACAGCTCAGCAGTAGGTGCAACCTCTCCCCCACTGCCCTCAGAGTGTGAGGGGGCAGCCCCGGGGTCCAGCACCCATATCCTGCCCTCCCTTTGCAGGGGCTGCTGCTCCCACCAGTGCCGCTGCCACCCCGGATCCAGAGGAGATGATCTTCTCCGGGGTGGACGTGCTCAAGCTGAATGCGGAAAAACGTGAGTGTCCAAGGGCAGCCCGGGACCAGGAAGGGGAAAGTCCTGGGGGAGCACCAAAGCACCGTCAGGGAGGTTGGAATGGAGACAGGGTTTCTGGGAGGTCCTTGAGCTATCTTGCTGACTGTGTCCTCTTTTTCCCCCACAACAGAGATCTAGAAGATGCCAGCAATTGCCTCCAGCATCCCAGCTCCTGTCTGATTTTTTTTCCCTGTTTCTTTTCTGCTCTTACACTGCTGACCTTTCCCCTGCTGCAGAGCACCAGCCGGGGCTGAGCTGCCACGACTATCAGTGCTAGAGATGAAGTGTCTCCTCAGAGAGTGGGTAAAGCAGGCTGGAAAATGATTTCAACCATATCAGGTCCATAAATCCTGTTCCCTTTGGCTCATCGACATCCCACAGCACCCAGGCAGTGGCAGAGCTCGCTCCTGCTGAAGAATTAATGCTTCCTTACACTAAATGAACATTAAAAGCAGCAAAACAATACCCACCAGCTTCTTAACTGATCCCTGTAGGCTGGAACCCTGTTAGATTAGTGGAGTAGAGGGTTTTTATTGTGGAGTGCTCAGATTTGTAGACAGAGATTCGCCTACAGCCGCAGCAGTGGGTATCCATGGGCAGAGGGGCTTCTAATCTTCCTGAATATATCTGATTGTTCCTTTATAAATGAGCTCAAAAGCTAATTATTTCAAATAAACTTTTGAATAAGAAAGCCTTGTAAGCAACTCTAGCAGGGCTGTGCTTGCAGTTTGCAGCTGTCTTAGGTTAAAAATAAATGCATCTTAACAAAAAAAAGGGATAAAGAAAAATCTCTGCAGACACTTGGACACCTGTGTCCTCACGCAGGACTGTACGTGTTTCTTGCCCCATTGCTGGCCCCTCCCTTGTTTGATTTCCTATGCACCCTGGGGCCCTCCTGGCCCCCATCATGGCCTGGGAGGCTGAAGTTTCCTTTCAGGGAGACACAGTGTGGGCAGGAGAGGAGAGGAGCAGCCCCTGTGCTGGGAGCCATCCCCCTCCTGGAGCCAGAGAGCTCTGCCCTCACCCATGGAGCACAAGGGGACCTGTGCCCTTTTTCCTCACCTCCTAAATCCCAGTCTGTCCCCAGGAAGAAAGCAATCATTTTTTTCCTCCAAGGGTTGAAACAGTGCCCACGAACCCAGGCAGACATTGGGCTCTGCTCTCCTACCCACAACCTCCTCCAGAGCCAGAGTGCCTTGGTCACCTCCCCTCCCCTGAAAGTAGCAGAAGCAAAATCTCATGTTGTTGGTTTTTATTTTGTACTCCATAAAAAAAACAACACAAAAAACTGACTCTGCCTTGGCTGAGAACAACTGCTGGACACAGCTGTTCAGTGCAACTCCACACACATCATAATCACTGCTGTCAGTGTTAGAATAAAAAGGAAACTCAAGAGCTCTCTTCTGTAGTAGCAAAAGGACTGACACCACAAGTCACAGAAGGAGGAGGGGAAAAAAGGTAAAAGTTTCTCTTAAAAATATAGCTCTGTGGTACGAGAAAGGGATGGCTGGGTGTCAACAAGGAGAAAAGCAGCTTGTGCTCTGCTCTGGTCAAACTGCCTCCTCCAGTTCTGTTCCACGGGGAGGGACAATAAACACATCTCTGGGCCCCAGCAGGGCAGGAGGAGGCAGAAATTACACTGCTCTGCTCTAAAAGTCACAGTTAAAAGAAGTTATAAATTATTATTTAAAAAAAAAGTTGGAATTCTCCTGATGAGCTTCCTTTTCCTTTCTTCTGTTTGATCTTCACCCATAAATCCTTAATCACAGGAATGCGGTACCTTTGGGGAGAGGAGTTAAAAGCGTTAGGGTTGGGGAGGAGGAGAACAGCCTTACAGCTGAGCAGAGCACGGGCAGAGGCATCTGGTCCACTTCCAGATGGCTACATCACCATCTAATCCACATCACTCTTCCAAGCTCCCTGTGGTCAGCAGGGACAGACAGACACTGCCAGAGGCCGCTCATCTCTGCTGGTGACAGAGGTCAGCAACATCCAAGCTGGATATCCAGTTCTCAGCAGCTAAAGAGATGAGGTCAGACACATTCCAGAGAAGCCAGCACACGGCTGCATGACATTCCTCACACTGCTCCACTCCCTGGCCCTCTAATCTAAGGCCAGGCTGGCTCAGTGAGCACTTAGAGGGCACACTGTCTTCCCAAAACTGGCCCAGGAGTTCTGAATTTGGCCAAGGTTACCGCCGCTCTGAGGTACCAATGGATAGTCCCCATCTACAGGCCATGTACCTTCTCACAGTCCTTCAGGCTCAGCTGTTTTCTTCTTCTAAAAAGAGGGAAAAATAAATAATTATCATCAGAATCACAAACGTGAAGGACCCAGCAAAGCCACAGAGGCTTCCCAGATATGTCCCTGTGGAGGTGGTAGCCACCACAAGGAATATCCTGTAGTCTCCCTCTGTCACCCCTTCGAGCCCTTGGAATGGGATGCAGTAGCCTGCCAAGCCCTGGGGAGCTCCAGCTTCTGCTGAGAACAAGATGAACAGACAGCTGAAGAGCAGCACTTACTCCTTGGACAGGCTCTCTCTGCCACCAAAATGGCCCCTGGCTTTGACCCTTCCAGGGACAGGGATCTCTCTCCTGGGGCAACAACCCTTCTTTCAGCCACCCTAATCCCAAACATCAGGATGTCTCAAAATTAGCCAGAGTGAACTGCAGGCTCCCCTATACTGCCAGCAAGGCCGGGGCATGGCTCTGTTCCTTCTCCAGCCTGGCACGCTGCTGGGATGGGATGAGCATCAGAGCTGTGGCTCAGAACAGCTCTGCCCGTGGTACCCCAGCCCAGGGTCTGGCACGTACCTTCTTCTTTTTCTTGGGAACCTCAGCAGAGCCATCTGCTACAGGTTCCTCTTCAAAAGACACCTTTTTGCTTTTCTTCTTTTCTTTTCCAGTCTTCTTTTCTGGGAGAGGGAAAGAAAAGCCAACTAAGAGAGGGATTCTGGTATTGTCAGCCTCTGAGAGGGAGCACAGACTGGCAGGAGAACCTCCAGTAAGTTTATGATCACATCCAGACTTGAGCAAGCTTTCCAGAGCAGGAACTGGATGAACCCTGCTACAGGCAGCTGTACCCAGCGATGTTTCCTCAGTACCTCTGAGCCAGAGCAGTTTGATCTCACCATCTGTCTACACATGTGGGTGGCATTACATAGGATTCCCTTCTATCCATATCCTGCTGCCCACCCGCTCCAAGGAACTGCTCCAGGGCTGGAAGAGCTGGGCACATGCTAGAAATGAGAGCAAGGGGAGCTGCTAACACAGGATGGGCACGAGGTTCAGCTCTGCACAAATGAGGCTTCAGCTCACCCCCGTGCAACTGCCCACACGAGGGCCAATGGACAAGTCTGTCTGCTCCAAAAATAAGGGCTGCATTTCGGCAGAACAGAAACTCCAGATCTGGCCCAACCAATCCATCTCCTTTTCTTTTTTTTTTTTAAAGCCCACAAGATCCAGCACAGAACCAGCTCTGATTTGCAAATGCAGGCTGCACTGCAAACAAAAAAAATGGCCTTTGGATCAGGGCAGCAGGCAGAGCACTATAGAATGGCAAGATGTAGAGAGGTAACAGTGACAGGATAAGAGGAAATGGCCTCAAGTTGAACCAGGGGAGGTTTGGATTGAGTATATGGAAACATTTCTTCACTGAAAGGGTTGTCAAACACTAGAACAGGTTGCCCAGGGCAGTGGTGGGGACACCATCCTTGGAGATATTTAAAAGATGTGTAGATATGGCACTTGGTGACATGGTTTGAGAGTAGACCTGGGTTGGACTTGATCTTAGAGGTCTTTCCAACCCAAATGACTCTGATTTAAGAGGGAAGCAGTCAAGCAGGAAGCCAATGGGGAAGTGGGTGCTACTTACAAGGCCCTGTACTGGAGGCTGAACATGCATCAGCTGCAAGAACCTACTGCTAACTAGGTCCCAAGTATAGGATGCTTACTTTTAGCTGCTTTTTTCTTTTCCTTGCTGCCTGCTGTCTTCTCCAGGTCACCATCTGCTTTCTTTTTTTTCTTTTTGGGTACTTCATCATTAGCCTGCCCTTTCCGTTTCTTCTCCTTGGGCTGCCCCACAGCCCCATCCTCTCCTGCCAGTTTCCGCTTCTGAGACGTTTTCTGCTTCTTGTTCTCTTTGTCTTTGCTCTTAGACGTTTTCACAGCCTTGTCTGCTGTGGAGGATGGCTTCTTCTTCTCCTTCTTTTCTTTTTTCTCCTTTTTCTTCTTCTTCTTCACTTCCAACCCTTCCCCTCCCTGCACTGCAGGGACTTTGGCAGCAGTGGTGACCTCAGTTTCGCTCCCTGAGCTTGGCTCCCCTGACTGTGGGACAGAGAGCAGGGCATGTGATGGTGCTGGGGTCACTTGCACTTCTTTTGCACCAACATCATTCTCTTTTGCTTGTCTCTTGCCTTTCTTGAGTGAAGCTTTGAGGCTGGCATGACCTGGCTCTGTTTTCCCTGCCACCTTCTCTTTGTTGGAGGCTTCTGTGGCTTCCTGCCCTGAAGGGGGGTTGTTTTCTGCAGAAACAGTGACAAGAGAGAGAAGACAACTCAAGGAGTATTCATTACACAGACCACAGTCACAGGAGGATGGAAATATGCATTTAAAGAGGAGCATCCAGCACTTCTCCCAAGAAAGCCAAACCTGCTGGCTATCTATAGCAGAGTCAAAGAAAGATGCCTCAGCCTGAGATCAAGTATCTGGAGAGGGAAGTGGGTGACAACACCCACAACAGCTTTGGCTGTTTGACAAGATGGGTGAGCTCAGATAGAGCAGTCCTTCCCCAGAACACCATTCCCAGTAAGTCAGGGACTTTCCAAGGTGGTGAGGGTATCCACACCACCACATCCAACCATCATCCATGGCAAACCCCAGTGCACTTGGGCCTTCCTGAGCCCATATATAGCTCTGACCTCTTCAATAGCCCTTTGCACAATGTAATGATTTGCCCAAGGGGCCAGCAGACCTGTTTGAGCCTCTAGAGCAGGCCAGAGCTCACAGCTGGGCCAGGGTCCACACCACAGCAGAAGCAGTTTCCAGCTCAAATTTTTACAATTTGCCAACAAGCCAGGGAAATAGCGGGACTTTTCCTTTCTCCACAGGTCTTCCCACTTGTTTCCCCTGTTCTGCACTCCACATATGCTACAGAACCCACACAGCCCAAGGGGAGGCTTAAATAACAGCACTGTGTAGCAGGTGTTCATCAGCCAGCATTTCAATCTGCCATCACTACCTCAGCACACCAATGCAGTGTGCCTCAGCTCCAGGGAAAGCCCTTCCTGCTCCTGTTAATTACTGTGGATAAAGTAGAGCTCGGAGGAGACAGAGGCACGGAGCACTGAGCCTCACAAGCAGCCAGCACAAGCAGGGTGTTCAGGGAGAGGGCTGTGCCATGGCCAGGGAAGCCAGCAGACGGCAGCAGCACTCCATGCTGCTGGGCTCCATGATGGAGACACACTGGGAACACGGCCCGTCCCAGTGACACCCTCCCCAGTGTCACCCTCCTGTGCCAGCAAGGCTTTGCTCCAGGGCCAAGCAAATTCCCAGCCTTGCCAAAGGAGACCCACCTGCTTTGTGGTTTGCAGCCACCTGGTTGTCATCTGTGTCGGAGTCACTGCTGTCGGTGCTTGAGCTGTCGGCTGGGGCTGCTTTCAGAGGGGCCTTGGCGGGAGAGTTCGCAGCAGTCACGGCTGCTTTCCCTGGCCCCACTTCACCTACAGG